TTTAAACAAAAGGTAAATTTCACGATTTCGAGAACAAACATGGCGTTGTCCATAAAGTCGACAGGTAAACTGACCGAACAACCTTGCCTTGCCCTTTACAATTGATATATACATGAAAGAAGCAAGTAGATCTGAATTTTGGTCAGAATGAAGTGTGCGACACTGTCATTCGTGTTAGAAATCTTACGCCTGTCGATTTTGAAACAATTCTGATTGGAAAAGACTGGTCAATCTGTTGTATCATTATCTAAGGAATTTATACCTTGAACGCCATGTGGTGGAGGAGGTTTCAGCTGCGTCGTCTGCTTATCTTCTAACTGTCAGCAGAATAGTCAAGTTCTTTTATACTCTGTTCGTTCATATTGCCAGAAGAATGCGACAGGATGCCTGAAGTGAAACAACTATAATGTCCCTTTCAAAGAAGCATATTAACTCGATCCGAACAATACATGAAAGCAGCTGACCTCAAGAAGACAGCATAAAAACTGCCGTCTTGCTAATATTTCAAATCCCCCCCCCCCCCCCTCAAAAAACATATAGTTGAAAGAAATCGAAATGACACTTCAAAATGTTTATATTTTAACATTATTGCTCTGAAAACAAACAGTTTGCTTTTCCACCAACGGGAAATACCTTCCTTTATTAAACCACGGAATTCTTTCATCCGGGTTTTTTTCTAGTATTACGTGATCGTACAGGACAATATCGCGACCTGTGCTCCGGAACGCACGGAATCCGGGATTTTATCAAACATATAGGGATACGAATAACTGCTTTTGTTTTTATATTTGTAGTAATTCATGGCACTAAAAATTATAATTGATTAATTATTTAATATATATGATGACCAATTTATCGATTTAACCTTTAGCTTGAAATGTGATAGGGGCCTACTTAATGACAAAAAATAATAAACGATCCCTGGCATACCGGATTCCGGGATGTTTGCGGATCACTGTTGTGGCACGTGACGGCATTTAATGAATTATCTTCTCCTATTTATATTAGCTACTGCAATAGTAACGTAGTAGATTATGGAATAGAAAATCCGATATATTAACGCTTTTGTCATCATTCTTTCTTGAATAAAGGTGTCAGTAATGATGGATTTATACAATAAACATAACTAGATCTGAATTGACCATTTACTTGAAATTCTATTTCATTTTTTTTCATTTTACCATATGGATGTCAGTGGCTTTAAGACATTGGAAATGTTTACATTTAATGAGCTTGTTGGTTGGTAATATATCTAATAATGTATGTATTAGTTTAAATAGTTTCTACCTTATGAAGAGTTACCTCAGCCATGCGAACATTAATCTTACATTTGTATTTCAACTTGTTTAAGATTGTTTCATTTGGGTGTTCATTTTGTATCCTATTTTGAAGCCAGAAGAAAGCACAAAAAAGTTAATGAATAATTACATGTTTCTTGTACAGTTTCCAGTAACTGATCATTGTCCACATATGTCCCCAAACAAATGTCTTCATCAAACATTGCTGACAGTGTCGTAGATACATTCTCCAAGTGACCGTCACTTACTAAACAGGAAAACAAAAATGGTTAAAATTGAAAACACATCTGCGAATGATACCTTATTCAAAATTGAACATATATCATGTTTAAATGTTGTTAATGCTAAGAGGCGTGGGTGGTTGCTTTCCTTTACCAATGTAGTCCATGAGCAGGCTTAATCATCCGATGAGATTTTTTCAGACCTGGCGGTTATAGAGTTCCTAGAGAAACAGGGCTTGGTAATTAAGATAGGAATTAGGGTCCCTGTTTTCCAATATGAATATAAGACATTATGAATACAGTTACGTATCCAGATCATCAGGGCTTGATGATAAATTATAGGGATACGAGACTGTATTTTTACATAGGAATATATAAAAACCTACATGACGGTAAATAAGTGACGATTCCAAACTTCACGATTCATTACGCCCGGATGATCTAGATTACGTATCCAGATCATCCGAGCGTGATGATAATGATAGGCTTTTTCTGAAAGAAACAAGCTAAAAGTCGAAAAAATAGAAAAAAAACAACGAAAGTATCTATACTTTTGCCTTATAATCACGCTGATATTAGTCCCATTTTCGTTGGCATTATAATTTCGCCTTCACGTGAATGTATCATTATAATGTATGATTTTTAATTAATTCCCATCTGTACAATGACATATTATGTTCATCTTTTGACTGTCATCTGTATTTTTTCTTATGATGGATATCCTTAAGAAATAGTTAAGACATTTTCATATCTAGGTATTGTTTTTACGACTGGTGGTTCTTTTCGTGAGACTCATAAAGCTTCATCCAGTCAAGCACAGAAAGCGATTTTTAGGTTAAGAAAGTATCTGTACAAAAACACTAATATTACAATTTAACACACTTTAGAATTATTTGATAAATTAGTTAAACCGATTCAATTTTTACGGTTCGGAGGTATGTGGTTTCACTAAAGCCCCGCAAATTGAAAAAAAATCATACTTTATTTTGTAAATCTATTTTTATGTTAAAACCTCTACTCAGAATGACTTTATATATGGTGAACTTGGAAGAATGGATCTTTCTTCACAGCGTATTTTGAGAATAATTAAATATTGATATTAAGTAGTATTGAATGAAAATATATCAAATTGATTTACTTGCAAATGTTAAGAGACATAGATACAAAAGAAAACAGGATAATAAACTGGGCATCTCAAGTCAGAGACGTATTAGGAAAATTACGATTTTTCGAAGTTTGGCTAGGTAAGGGTGTTGGTAACCAAACATTGTTTTTATCTACACAAAGTATTTCAGATGTTTTTATTCAAGAATGGACAAGTCGTATAAATTTGTCATCTAAAGCAAGATTTTTTTAGAGTATTTGCAAAATTTGAATATAGCTTACACCTAAAAATGTTAATATAAGTAGATACTTGACAGCTTCAACCAGATTAAGACTGTCAGCTCACCATTTAAGTGTTGAAACTGGCAGATGGGGTAACATTTCCTTAAGCGACAGATTATGTCACGCATGTCAAAAATTAGAGCAAGAATTTCACTTATTGTTTGAATGTAAATTGTATAATTCTATTAGGGAGTGATATATCAACCAATATTACGTAACAAACCTAAATATGTATAAAACTGCAGAACTGTTTGACTTTTATTCAGTACAAATTGTAAGAAATTAAGCAATGTTTGTCTATAAAGCTTTCGAGATTCGAAAAGAATCTAAATTGCAATCTTAGAGATTAATAAATATTTATATACCGTAAGATTCTGAAGTTCCTTTCTGATGTTCCTCCTTATTTGCAAAAACATTTTCCTTTTTTCAAACTTTATTTGATACCTTTTAAATGTTCGATATCTTGTATCATGTTCGTTATTCTTTTTTCTTGTTCTTTTATAACAAAAAATAAAGGTAAACAAATCTTTATTATCGTTTACATTATAATTGACATGGTTATTTCCCTTGTGTGCGTTATACTCGTCTTGTACTTTCGTTTTCGATACAAGGCAATTTGTCAAATACTAAAATGCATATCTGTATGTGAATCTATATCTGACATATTCATTTCTGACATAAAAACATGTTTTAGTAGTAAAAATAGTGGTCTTGTAATTTCAATTTCGATACAAGGCATTATGTTACATTATGTGTATGAATACATTTATAGGAGGCTAGTAATATCAAACATTATAAATATTTATATATGAGCATATCGTAATAAAACAAGTAGACATTTATAATCATTGATGTTTAGTAAAAGGAACACATACAGCACACAGTGAGAGGCCAAATAATCAAAGAGATATATGTGTATGAAATTATAATTGATATGAATTAAAATGTAACTGACATCATATAGTTCTGACAATATATGTATGTAACAATAAGTTGAAAGTGAGTAATCTTATTATTCAATGTCCGTCATTGTATTGAAACGTATTGTGTAATGTATTGTATTGATCAAAATGTTGTTATAGTTATAGTTTGTGTCAGGTCAAGGGCTTATTAGCCTGTTGTTTACATGTGGATTTTGAAATAAAATTCTTTATTCTTCATATGATTTTTAATCAATTCCCATCTGTACAATGACATATTGTGTTCATCTTTTGACTGTCGTCCGTACCTGAGTGTGTCCAACAGTTTTCTTCAGACGGATGGATATATGATTGGTTGGACGGACGGACGGACAAACGACTGAATTATCTTATCAATTTCTCCAGCAGTGATATAATAATTAAATCAATCAATAAAATTATATAGTTGGTCCTTTTAAGAAGAAAACACTTGATATACACAAACTATTCTCACTTTATTGACATGTTTCCGCTTTTCCTTCAATCCTTACGATATGTTAGATCAATGTTAATCGAAATACATGTATATATCTACAAATGATAAAAAATTATATTCGTAGGTTAATGTGTGTGACAATCTGATTAAAATTTGCTCCTAAATAACACTACACAATAGGATATAGGTTGTCATCTCTTTGTGGTTGTTCAAACAACAAATCATCGGCGAACTTTCATAATTTTGAGAGTGATGCGGTTTCTAAATTTAACCCCTGGAAACCCAATAGTGATTAGGTAATTTTCACGATTTCGAGAACAAACATGACGTTGTCCATAAAGTCGACAGGCAGAACAACCTAGCCCATTAAAATTGAGTCTATCATTTCCTCTTTATTTGTAAAAAAAAACTTTAAATTTTTTTTAATAACAAAAATCAACAATTTCACTCCAATGGGCAGCGATATTTTGATACTTCACCTTATGCATATCTGTAAGAAAACTTTGATTGCATGGCTTAAAAGAGCTTTCTCGGTAAATCCGAAGCACAATGAAGACGATACATATAAGTGGTAATCAGATCTACATGTAAGACTGAACTTTAGTCAGGATGAAGTGTGTGACACTGTCATTCATGTTTTATTCTTAAGCGGGTCAATTTTGAAACAATTTTGAGTGGAAAAGACTGGTCAATCTGTTGGTTAGTTATCTAAGGAATTAATATCTTGAACGCCATGTGGTGGAGGAGGTTTCAGCTGCGTAGGCCGCTTATCTTCTAATTTCTCTTCGTCAGCAGAATAGTCAAGTTCCTTTATACTCTGTTCGTTCATATTGCCAGAAGAATGCGATAGTAAGCCTGAAATAAAACAATTATAAGTGACCCTTTCAAAGCAGCTATTAACTAGATCCGAACAATTTATTAACACATTTGAAATGTTTATATTTAATGAGCTGGTTGGTTAGTTATATATCAAATAATGTGTACAATAATTTAAATATTTTTACCTTATGAAGGTTTATCACATTCATGCGAATATTAATCTTACATTTGTACTTAAACTTGTTTAAGATTGTTTCATTTGGATGTTCCTTTGTATCCTATTTTGAAGCCAAAGGACATCACAAATAAATTAATAAATATTACCTGTGTCTTGAACAGTTTCCAGCAACTGATCTTTGTCCACATATGTCCTAAGTCGAATGTCATCAAACCTTGCTGACAGTGTCCTAGATATATTCTCCAAGCGACGGTTTCTCTTTTTCCCCCGAACATTTTCCAAATTTTAATCAACCCTTCTATGTTAGTGACATGAATGGGTAACACTAAATTCTTCAACTTCTTTTTGCTACTTTCTGTTCCAATGTCGTCCCCTTGGGGGAAAATAGGAATACATAAATTACTGTTAACATTAAAGATTTTTTATTTACTAATGATAAAAGTTATTAAAAGACAATGTGCTCGTGTTTAAAGTCATTTCAACAGCAAAAGATTAAATTTAATGTGAACGATTATTAGAAATTGAGGTTGCAATGCAATAGGAGCGTACGTTTTTGTTACGTTTTCAAATTGAATTTTTCCCTCAGTTAATTCTTTTTTTTAGATTTTTAGATTGACAGACATTAAAAGTGAAAATTTGAAAGTTTTACTACTTCATTTCATTATTTTTTTCAATTATGCTATTAATGGTAACCAAATTTGCCTAATTTTCTTTGCAAAAAAGGAAATGCAAATTAAATTTTTTACCCCTATTTAATAAATAAAGTTTTTTGGAATCGTTTCTTAAATTTTTCCGGTTTATGTAGAAGTTAAATATATTTTTTGGTTTGTAATGCCATTTTATATCGTATATTATTTCTTTGTAGATTCCTATTAAGAAGAAGTATGATCTGCAATTCAAGTCCCTGTTCAATGTTTTCTAAAAGATCAAATTAATTAAAATAACAAAATAACTCGTTGTAGTAGTGTATTGTATAATTTATTACAATTTATAATTTATTCCACATACACCGAAAATTTAAATGTTTCAAGTTTTTTAAAGGCCCCAGTATTTAATTTTAAAAGAATTTTTTACCCAAAACCTTTTTTCTGCCTTTTTTTTGAAAAAATTTAAGGCTAACGAATGCCAAAAACAGAATAGAATAAAATGTTGCATGCCTATCTTTATTCATCTGTCTATTTAATTGATTTATTTTAACTATGATTCAAGTATACTATCCTTAAATAATGTTTTAAACAAATGCAAGTTGTGTCAGCCTGTATTAAGTAATTAAGTTATCTATAATCTAGCCCCGAATATTGATGTTGTAAAATATAAGAACAACTAAAAATGATATCGGATACATAAATTAGCATATTAATTGCTTATAGCACGCTATTAAGAAATTGATGTGTTTCTATATTAATTATACAATTATGAATACTTACAATAGAAGGCTAAACTACTCTGAAGACTCGTAGGCTCTACAACCCAATTAAATGAGCAAGAAAAGCCAAATAATGTACTGACAATAGTCGAAATTCTTGATAGATGTTCCTTGTACTGACTGCTATTTACATATTCCAACACTGTGAAACATCCTGTCACTGAAGAACAGAACATTGGTATGATGATACACCCTAAACGTGGTTTGCCTAGACCGTCCGATAATTTATCTATGTCAGTAAACCATTCTATCAAGTCATCCAATAATTGAAATATTATATCCCCGTACCATTCGACCCTTTGAGATATGATCATTTTAATCTCATCGTAGTCAAATGAGTTCTTGTCTTGTATAATCTTAACAAAATCAAACAGTACTTTGATGGCTTTCTTTTGTTTTTTTTTTCTCATTTTCACATTGAGCTTGTATAACTGTGTTCAAGTCTGAAAATAGATGAGAAGGTACAAGCAAGACCATTTTATAACGATAGTGTATATATTATCAAAAATATATTAATTATTAATTATAAGAGCTATTTCAAATATCTACAAAAAGCGTTGTCAAACACTGTTTTCACGCTATTGCCTTTCTAAAAATAGAATATTAATTGTGGTTTGCATTTGATGAAAAATTACTAGATCAATATTATTTGTATGACGCCGTAGGGTTCCTTCGCGTCATGCGGCAATGCACATTGAATGATATTTAGTTGCAGACAGGCAAAACAGTAATATATTCATACTACTCTTACATTATTTCACACATTCTTTATTAATACTTTTTTTTGTTATTTTAATTGTTTGGCTTCTTTTTTTATTTTTAATCACTTTATATGAATAAAATAGGATTTTGCATTCAACATTAACCATAAACGGAGCTTTTGTGAAATCATATTTTGTTTTCCGTACGAACATGTTTCGGAATTTGGAAATAGTCTGAGAAATCCTATCTTGGCATCCTGTCAAAGCATATTATATTTCTAAATTGGCATTATGTAACATAATTTTCGAATATGACAGAAAATACTTTTCTATAAACTTTCATGTATTTAAAGCTTCTATCCCACACATTCTAGTTCGGGCAATTGTGAAATAAAATGACATCAAAAAATATAATTTCGCCACCGACTCGAACATTTATATGGATCAAGATGATTGATAATGTCCGACGAAAATGGCATATCCGACGAAAATGACATAAAAGATTTTGCTTTGTTAATGATGTTGTTAGTTTAACCGTTGTAACGTTTTATTTTGTAAATATGGACAAATTATACACACACCCGTTGACTGGTTACAAGAAGATCCTTTGATTGAGGGTGTTTGTTAAGATTTTATCCTGCAATAGATTGCTGCACAATATGTCATAGAAAATTATTTCAATTAAAAGTGACAGACAAAAAGAACATAGTTTAAACTGCCATTTATGTAGTAAGTTCTAACTGTATTAAGCTGTCCTACTCGCAACATGTTCACTAGTGTGATATAAGGTTTGGATTGTTCATATTTGTGTCAAGTGAAACATAACAACCGTAAAGTCACAGTTTCAATCTGGAGATTTTATTTCTATGCATAATTAAAAACTGTAAACAAATATGTCTTTAATCTTTTGATCCGTTTTGTGTGGGATGGTAGCTTTAAAATGAACAATAAACTATTAACACACGATTGAGAGAAATATTATTGTGGTTTAGTAAATGAGAATAATGACCCAGGTCAATATCATTAAGAACATTGACTACGACTCAAAATATAATGTCTTTCCCCGCATGTAGGAAAATGACTCTCATAAAAAAACTGGCTCGCTAAGCTTGTTTTTTTTGTTGTTGTTATTGTTTTTGTTTTGTTTTGTTTAATTGGGTTTTACTTGTGGAAGAAACCCTCATTATTTCAGGCACAAAACGGGCACCTCAGTACAACCACCGACGTCGAGTAAGCTACATGGATAGCTTCCTGACATGAAAGAATCCAAAGTTGTTCCTGTCGGGATTTTAACCCACATAAGTGAAGGGCATGTTGTTTGAAGTGAACGACCGTATCCACTAGGCCACGCACGCCCCCGTCATGATAAAACGTAAGATGATAGCTATTTAATTTTCCGTTTATCTAAATAGTTTTATATGAGCAACAAATGATTATGTGTATAGGTTGTTATTTTTTGTAACTAGAAACAGCAATATGCTTCACACTTTTTCTCTGTGCTTTTAGTAAACTAATATGCACCTGTTTTATATGCACCTGCAAGGGATATGTCAAGTTATACACCCACCTCTAAATTCTTTTATATCTTGCTTTGAACCATCTGCTGAATCTTGAAGAGACTGCAACCTTCTTTTCATTCCATCGTTTGGGTCGCTTTGACTGTCTTTTATGACATCAATATTTTCTGTAAATCATTTTAATTTGAAAAAGAAATATTATAATAGCTGCCGGTTTCTTTTTGCCGCGCCAGTTTTTGGCAAATTCAACCCCTATTTTTACGCGGTTTAAAAAAATGAAAACTATCTTAAATTGTCATATTTACTAAATGGTTTAAAAGTTAATATGTTTTGTTTTTCTATCTTTAATACTTTTTTGTAAAAATGCATTGAAAGTTTGCATTTGCCATGGCAAAGTGTGTTTTGCCATGGCATTTCGGCATTTTGCCATGGCAAATAATTTGCCATGGCAAATTAGAATTGCCATGGCAAGATTTTTCCTACTTTTGCCATGGCAAATTTGCCATGGCAATTATTTTTTTAAAACATCACAAAACATTCTAAAACTTATCCTGTGACATGTTATTGGTGCTATTGTTATGTTTTTATTGCAATCTCTAATTTTTTTCATTTTGCCATGGCAAATTTTTGCCATAGAAATGCCATGGCAAATTTCTGCCATGGCAAATTTGCCATGGCAATTCCATGGCAAAAATTTGCCATGGCAATTCAATGGCAAAAATTTGCCATGGCAAGTCCATGGCAATTACAAAAAAGTTTGCCATGGCAAAATATTATCAATAAAAAAAACATTTTTTCTTTGAATTTTTTTTTTTTTAATTATTAAATTGTATTCAAAAGAAAATATAGTCAATTTTTGTAAAATGTTTTAGTGTCATTAAAAAATGGTCTGTGGAATGTTTTAATTTTCAATTTTATTCTGATGGTACTATATTTACCAGGATTGGCAGGAGTGTAAGAATTAAGTGGCCCATCATCAAATCATACGGAATCAATCCTACGGTAAACTATCATTTGTTTAGGATATTAACCTCAATTTAAGAAGGAAATGTTCTAGTTGAAGCGAAAATCGAAAAGTTACCGCCCCTTAAAGAGTACTCATCATTTGCATTAAATCAAAACACGAAGGGGGCAGGGGACCTAAAAATGAACAATATTGTAATTCAGTGTGGCTAGAAACACAATTCCAAATATTTCAAAATCTGTTTCACAGGCAGATAACCAGTTGCACAGCATTATTCAATGATTTATGACATACATTAAAGAAAATAATAGTTTGAATGCATTGCTCCTTAAAAAATGACTGACAGCAATTTATATTTACCCCCACCCATCCAAAATCACACCTAAAATATACCAATATGGGCAATCTTCATGAAGGTGCAGCATACTCTAGAATCCGCCCGATTCCTTAAAAAATATCACTTACACGCAGTGCAAGCTATGGCATTTTCAAAAATGACCAATAAAGTGTCTGTCATGCGTTTAGATTTTTCACAAAATTTATCTTGTTTGGCGCCAACTGTCAAAGCTTGATTTTTAACTTTTTCACCTCCATTCGGAGAGTCACAAATACATACAAAGCTACCAAAATGCTTAGTTTCGGGTAAAAAAAACAACAAAAATACTGCTCGTTTCCTACAAACAAACGAGAAAGAATTACAATGACAGAGAAATATCAGAAGTTTCCAGTACCTTCAAAACACCATGTCTGAGTTATTAAAACAATTGTTCGGGTCCATCATTCGAATATGTTCCCTGTCCCCATATTTCCCGACGATAATTTGTATAATTTTTTTCTGTAAAATATGATAAACAAAACCAACAAGGAAAGAAAGTATGTTTGCGGTGGTTCCCTCGTCATGTAATTTCGTTGATTCGTTATACATATTGAAAATGTAAGCAACGATTGATTCAAGAATTAATATAGGGCCGGGAAATATATTTGAATATTCGAAATCGTACATCGAAAAACGAATACGAACATTCGAAAAACAGAAGAAATGTTGTATTTTTTGTACTTTCAAATTTCAATCAAGATCGTAAATTAAACCATTGACCTTTACTTGATCCGGTGTTCATATGTTTGTTTAACGCGTGACATCAACTATTGCCAATTTACTGTGAAAAGTTGTGAGTATAGTTAATCAAAAGGGCACCCGTTTCACAGTTAATAATTTACTTGTTAAAAGTATATAATGTTAAATTTTCCGATTTTAATTATCTTATTTTATTGTTTTCTGTGCTATAGTATCTAGGGGCGTGAGGGATGTTGCACTTGTTCATTATCCCTCATGTATAGACTCAATCAAACTGAGTCTGCAATTTTCATGTAATTTTGTTGTGATTAATGCTTCCGGTGGATCACTATGTTTCCAGATATTTTTTTCGATCAATCAATAATTGTCTTCAAATGTAAAAAGAAAAATGAATTTGCACGTATTAATCGGCGCGTTATGAAAGCACGGAAATGGTCATCCCTCAAGGCCAAACACTTCAAACTTGAAAATGTTGCAGACTTGGTTTGATTGACCCTGTTTATGGACGGTAATGTCAAGTGCAAACTACCGTCTACGCCCCCTGGCACCGTCTAAAGCAGAATTCAGCATTTTAAAATGAAAGGGTGAAAATTTGAATTTAGAAACATCCGCAGATGTATTCAAACCGCGGGTATCATGGAACCTTGAATGTGACACAGAAGTGCCATTCCTTGAAAGGCGGAGTATTGTCCCCAAGTAATAATCAAAGGGCTGCAAGCTCTGTGGTATTTTCTGATCGTTGCTATCGCAATCGTACTGTATATCTGTATGTATTTTCCTGTATATCCTGACATCGCTAAAAATAACATTTTAATTGATTAAAATCATATTCATCCGCGTACATGTATTGACAATTCTATAAGCCAACGCTACTTTTAAACTTTGAATGCGTTGTAATTTGTTATCCATACAGATATCTTATTTTCATATAGATATGTCATTTTGATACATATATATTTTTATACAAATCTTATTTCCGTTAAAGATCTTATTTGATAATTTATCATTCTGAAACAGATATTATTTTCATACATACATTTGTATTATTTTCATATAGATGTTTTCGTAAGGATATTATTTTCATGCAACTTTAAATTTCATATATCTTATATTTTGTAAAAATCTTAGTCGAAAACACACATTATTTTCATACAGCTCTTATTTTCGCAGATATCTTTT